ATCGCTGTGAGGAAATATTTGAGAGATGTTTTTATTTATTGCAATAACTAAGTCCACCAGAATTAAAGAGTGCACTAAAAGTGAAAACAAGTTTAGAGGGAGGAAGGAGTTGGGAGGCAATGTATAAGCAAGGGGCCCTTGGCAAGCTGTTTTGAGAACACAGCCTCAAAGCCATGTGGATAAAAAAAAAAAAAAAAAAAAATGGGGTGGGGCACACGCAGATGCCAAGCCAAGGAACTCTGCCCTGGAGGAGCGTCTCTGGGGTAACCTTCCAAGATGTGAGCCATCTCGAGTGAGACAGGCGTGTGCTCCAAGCAGGGATTTTTCTTGTGAATGAGAAAAGGGGCAATCTGGGATTCTCTTCTACTAAATGGCAGTAAGTAGTCCCAAGGCAGCTATCTGGACAGTTTGGAAAGAGATAATCCTTTCGGAGTCCAGACTGTAATGTATCTTTGGGAAAAGTCTTCGCAATTTGAATGTGTACTAAGGGAGGTAATTTCTTTTTCTCTTCCTGGAGAAAGATCAGTAAATGTAACAAACGTTGAGAGATGTCTTCCATTCTTTTTACTTTTCCTTCCTCTTTTTACTTCCTTCCCCATCAAACCACATTCTTTTCCAATAACCTTAAAGGTTACAGTGTGTCAAAGGCTATCCAGAACTGGATGGTTTTTCTACCTGTTTACTCTGCAACTTCATCCAGGTATTCCCACATGCTCCCTGTTACAGGATCAGGCCCACTTTTGGCTTACAGCAGGGCATTTAGAGAGCTCCAACTTTTGTAAGTAAACATTTCACCGATTATGTAAACATTTTTTTCTAATTAAATTGCTTATGTGATCTAAATTTTTGGCTTGATCATAACTTATTTCACACCCTTGCAAATAAAAGTATTTTCCTAGAAGCACCTTAAAAAACAGAGCGTGCCACTCTATTCAATGTCAATATAAATTGTTTGGGGAAGGAGGACTGGAATTGCACACTGCATTGCTGGTACTGTACTGGTGCTGTACTGGTCCTGTATATGTATTATGTCATTTAATTTTCATTAATAAGCTTACACATTTTTACATGCTTACTTTACGAATGAAGGAAAGGAGGCTCAGAGAAGTAATTTGCTTAAGATAATATAGCTAAATAAACGGCAAAGCTGGAATTTGAACCTAGATTTGTCTGATTACAAACCATGACACTATATTGCTTATGCATATGGTCCATAGTTACTTCAAATACAACATGTTCAAAGCCAAACTTATTTTTCCAATATTCTCCCTAGTTGATGTTTCTCCTACTAGGTTTCCTAGTTCAAAGGCCACTGATTACCAAAACACTGAAGGTAAGAACTTGGTCGGTCAGTCCATTGGTCCGTCAGTCTCTCTCTCTCTGTCTCTCTCTTTCACACGCACACACACAAACACACACTCCTCTACTTCTTTTTCTATGGCTTTAGATTAGCCTCACAACACTTTCCTGCCATATGATAATATAGCTTCCCAACTCATCTGTCTGCTTCCATTCTTGTTTTCTGACTTATCCAAGCCACATATTAACAGACCCAATAATACACCATGTAGAGATAAATAATACCTCATTTTTCTGAAGATCAGTTTTTCAGCTGACTCAGCCTTCTAAGAGCCTCAAACACCTATAAGAAAAGGTATTTGGAAACCCCAAATAGCAATTCCAAACCCTGAGCTATGGAAAGACTGGAGCTGTCACTCAGGATTTTACTGGCTTTTTTGAAAGGAATATCACTAGCTTACCTTATACTTTTTTGCAGTCTGCAGCTAGTTTAGAAGCAGTAAGATTCAAAACAGGTGGACTACTGCTACAGGAGAGCCATTTAAAGCTTTGCTACTGAAAGTGTGGACCCCAGACCAGCAACATTTGCATCACCCTGGAGCTTGCTAGAAATTCCGAATCTCATACTTCCTTCTACACCTGCTGAACTGGAATGTGCATTTAAACAAGATCCCCAAGTAACTTGTAGGCATATTAACGTTTTAGGTGCACTGATTTAAAGCAAATTAGGTATTTGAAAATCAAACTCTACAACAAATTGGGGGTACTCATGTTTCTATTAAGACCCACATAGATATCTTCTTAAAAAATAGGCTATTAATGAATTTTAGATCACTGAATTGCTTTAAAAAAATTTTTTTTTATTATTATACTTTAAGTTCTAGGGTACATGTGCATAACGTGCAGGTTTGTTACATATGTATACTTGTGCCATGTTGCTGTGCTGCACCCATCAACTCGTCAGCACCCATCAACTCGTCATTTACATCAGGTATAACTCCCAATGCAATCCCTTCCCCCTTTTTAAAAAGGTTTATGACAGGGGCCGGGTGCGGTGGCTCGCGACTGTAATCCCCGCATTTTGGGAGGTTGAAAAGCGGGTGGATTGCTTGAGCTCAGGAGTTTGAGACCAGTTTGAGGAACATGCCAAGAGAACATGCCTGTCTCTACAAAAAGTACAAAAATTAGCCTGGCATGGTGATGCGTGCTTGTAGTCCCAGCTACTTGCTAGGCTGAGGTGGAAGGATTGCTTGAGCCTGGGAGGCACAGGTTGCAGTGAGCTGAGATTGCACCACTGCACTCCAGCCTGGGTGACAGAGTGAGACCCTGTTACCCCCTCCAAAAATAATGTTTATAACAGCACAGGACCATTTAGTTTTCTAAGGCTGTGGTTTAGATGTGGGATATCAGTTGGTATTACAAGTAGAAGGGGAAATTGCCACTAACCTTCCATGCTAAATCCTATTTATCTATACTACTCTCTTAACTATCAGTCTAGGTATGCCTATTAATGTACCACATTAATGAGACTGTTGATGTAGAAAAAGGTTGAGAACTAGTGGATAGTGTTTCTCAGACATTTCACATTAGCTCTGACGGTAGAGGATAATGAACATTTATCTCTGGAGGTCAAAGTGTCCATCATAATAATGAATTTCTTTTAAGTCTCATGTAGTATATTTATTTAAATTTTATATTGTTCAATGTTTAAAATATAAAAAATTAACTACAAACGAAAGCAATGAACAAGGTAAATAACTCAAAATTTGTTACAGCCTAAGGTGATAACATTTTTCCAGACATTTTAGAACTTAAATGTTTCATAAGTGAACAGAAACTAGATGTAGGTGGGGGAAGGAATCTTCCTAGCATTCCAATTGTATCTCTAAATATATTTTTACTGATTGACTTGGGAACCATGTATATTCTTATTTATAAGATAACACAACCTGGGTTCCATTAAACTTACAAATAAACTGTGAAAACCCTTCTTAAGTTGGAGACTCCATAGACATACGAATGTTACTGCCACTGTTAAAAAACACCAGCTTATATTTTTACTACGATGTGAGAGTGTAGCATCAAGTCTGATGCTCAAGCTAAAGAATGTCAAACGATAATAACAGGAAGAAAATTCACAAGTGTTATGGAATTTCTCACCTTGGTTTATAACCAAGAGAATCTAAAACATATATCTACACAAATACTTGTATGTGAATGTGCATAGCAGCATTATCCATCCATAATGGCCAAAAAGAATAGTCCAAGGGTTCATTAATTGTTGAATGGATAGCCACAAGTGGTATATCCATACAATAGAATATTGCTCAGCAAGGAAAATGAAATACTGATATATGCTACAACATGGAGGAACCTTGAAAACATTATGCTAAGGGGAAGAAGCCAGTCACAAAAGGCCATATAATGTATGATTCCATTTATATGAAATGTCCACAATAGACAAATCTATAGAGACAGAAAGCAGATTGGTGGTAGTGTGGGGCTGGGAATGGGAGGGGGAACTGACTGTAAATGGGCATGAGGGGATGTTTTGGGGTGATGGAATGTTCTAAAACTGGATTGTGGTAATAGTTGTACATATCTACACATTTGCTAAACATATTCCAATGATATATTTACAACGGGTAGATTATACTTCAGTACAACATTTAAAAATTTAAAAAACACTTAAAAATGCCCCAAAAGAAGTCCCACAAAACTTGAAAAAAGGTTAACTCTCTAAGATTATATGGCAAGAATATAGGCATCACACATCCACCCCTGTCCCCGGCATATCGTCACATAAGACACATGTACCTGGTTTGATAATCATAGTGCTGAGGCGTTCCAGGCATCTGTGTATTCTTAACATGCTTGACAAAAGAAAGATGCACTTAATTCATTAACAGCATACTGACAATCACACTGCCAAAGAGAAGGCTGAAGAAACACTTTAAGGTAATAAAAGCTCCTATGTCATTGATAGCATGAAGATGGACTGGCATCAAGGTCTATTTTAATGTTATATTATTACTGGTCAACCTCTTTTTACCTTGCTGACATTTAACAATAACTCCTGGTAAGTTGAATGATACTACAATGGTATCCATTCCTCTCTATGTAATATGTAAATATATCATACTAAAGTTTTAGTGTTTATTGATCAAATAGATAAATGACCATTTACATCCAACCATTTTCTTACCTCCCAAATCCAGACATATTATATGAGAAAAGTTAGTGTATGGACAGTGATAAGGTTTGGATATTTGTCCCTTCCAAATCTCATGTTGAAATGTGATTCTCAGTGTTGGGGGTGAGGCCTAGTGGGGGCGATTGGATCATGGGGGTGGATCTCTCATGAATGATTTAGTATCATCCCCTTGGTGATAAGTGAGTTCTCACTCAGTTCATGCAAGATCTGCTTGTTTAAGAGTCTGGGACATCTTGCTTCTCTCTGTCTTCCTCCTGCTCTTGCCATGTCGTGTGTTTCCTTCCACTTAACCTTCACATCATGATTGTAAACTTCCTGAGGCCCTTACCAGAAGTGGAGCAGATGTTGGCCCCATGCTTACTATACAGCTTACAAAACCATGAGCCAGTTAATCCTGTTTTCTTTATATATTACCCAGTCTCAGGTATTCCTTTATAGTGACACAAGAAACATCCTAATACAGACAGTTAAACTAACACCAGACACAAACGTTTATTGGAATATTTTATTTACATTTTATATTTAAAGAGAATCAATACAAATCGGGACATATTTACAGCATTTCAAATCAGCGTACAAGAATGCAATGGTTTCATCCATTCAGCAAACAAAAATACATGTCTGTTTTATTTTTGCCTAAATTCTGCTAGAATTTGAACAAAATTCTAAAACAAAAGATAAGCCACACAGAGTACAAATAAAGTGCATTTTTAAATAGCTCTATTTAACTTTGGTGGATGAAGCTTCAAACTTTGTATTAAGGCACCTGGAATTCTCCCCTGCTTCTTTTTCAAACACCAGGAAAATGCATTCACAAAATTTATAGTTACATGGACAGAATTTTAGTTTATCTAATGTAATTTTAGCCCATTTAGGTCAAACATAAACTCAATTTGCAAAGTAACATTGTTTGGAAAACATTTTCAACAGACTAATTTTACAGAACATTTTTTTCTGTAGACTAATTCATGCACAAAGACCAATATTAGTGTTACTTACTCTGTCATTACCATTTTCAAACAGTATGATGATTCATATACTGTGCTTTTGAAAAATCCCACAAGTTTGAGAAATAGTTACACAGTATTTTTATAAGGAACCTTTTTGTCTAATCTTGTGTCAAGTTGATGTCACTAATATACCAATCAATTCAGTTCATAATCTCTGATAAACTATGGTTGACACTCACATGAAGTACATTCAGCCTAATTTTAAAAACAAGAAAAAGTTAAAATGAATATTTTGCTTTAATCTTGTTCTGTTAACTTAAAGTAGCTTAAATAGACATTTCAAGAAGAACTAGCCTAAGTTTGCACTGCTTTTTACATTACAATTCCAGATCAATATAAGCACCTGGAGAAAAACCCTGACACATATAGCCCAAGCTAAAGTAGTAGTATTTTTCATTAAGATACTATCATAAAATAAAGTGATTACAGCTACTCCACATTTTAAAAGCAACATGTTTTTATAAGAAAATTCTTATAAATGAAAAACATGACTTCTTGAAGACAGTTTTGAATGTCTAAAAATGTTGCTATCACTATTGAGAGGAAACTTGCCTATGAAAAACATTATAATGAGTTTGTGGAAAAAAGTTAACAGGTTAAATATTTTAAGCCATTTAACTATAGCATAATATTAGTCATCTCTGCACTTTCAGTATCACTCTTATTTTATTAAATTTATCCAGTTTATTAATAGAAACTAGGCCCTGATTGGCAGTTCTGTTATTACTAACGGTTCAAGTTTTCTATTGACACAGACTTTAAGATTTAATTTCTCGAACAGCAGTCTCTTGATCAGGAGTTTCATCTTCTTCAAAAGTTGGGTTGTCAACATGAGGAACAACATCCACTGACACAGAATTTGCTTCATGGTTTACCAGCTGTAGATTTTCATCTAAAAAAGAAATAGCAATTTTAGGATGATTTTGCCCCTCTCTTCTTTTAAGACAAAATTCATCATTTAGTTCCAAGAAGTCTTTCTTATTTAATTTCATCATACTCTGATTATCATACTCATTCCCTGTACCTTTAATAATTATATGATTTATGCTATAGCTTACATAAAGCATATATGGCATTATTATATTGATTTATAATTGCCCCTTTTTTGATTCACATACATGGGTTTATTTCTACCCAGATTATAGCCTCCTTAAGAGCAAAAATTATGTCTTCTACTTCTTCCTTACCTTAAATATAACAAGCTGTTAAATCTGGCTATACATTTTTTAAGTGTCCAAACCTGGGAACTTAAAAAAATTACCAATGCTTCTTCATACACATAAATATAGATAGATAGATTTAAAAAATCAACCAGGAAGTTGGAAGGATGCCCAAAATTGAATACAAACAGTAATAAATGAACTTAATTGTATTATAAATGAAATACATAACTATGTGAAGAGCACAGGGAAGAAAACAACTAAACTTAAATAACATTGGAAAACAGTATTTTGACTCTAACCTGTAAGGCTAAAAACAAAAAGAACTGTACACTAGTTACTGACATTGTTTTACACAGGGGTATGTGTTAGCAACGCTGAAACTATTTTATGTATATTCTATAATTGAACAAATAAGTAAAAATACTGTGGATAAAAAGAGTCTTTCTCCTTTCACTGTCGGAGAAAGGAGTTACAAATAAATAAAGGGAGAGGCCAGAATGAACCCTGTGGTGTTGGATTGAATTAGTAGGGTCATTGTTTTTCAGATAAATAGATGAAATGACAGATAGAGAAATAATGTATATGTATGTGTATATTTGTGAGAGTAAATATATATATTTTCTAGTCTTGTTCACTAAAAGGGCCAATAGCAATGACACCCCAGTAGCAATAAACATGCCTGTTGCTCAGATTCTGGTTTTGAAATACCATTCTCCAGTAAAAGGCCTCCTGAAGAAGTGGCTGATTCTAGGGCTAGGACAGGGAAAGTACAAGGTTAACCTAGATTTTAGCCTAGGGACCAGCAAACTCCAGCCTACCCGCCATAGCTAAAAGTGTTTATCATGGTTGTAAAAGGTTGTAAAACAAACCAACGAAAACAAAAAATAAGAGTATGAAAATGAAGACTTACGGCCTTCAAAGCCTAACATATTTACTATGTGGCCCCTTACAGAAAAAGTTGGCTAATCCCAGACCTAGAACACCTTGTGTTACCAGAAAGTAAGAAAGTTGAAAGAACACAGAAATCAACTTGAACAAGTTCCCAATGACCAAATCTAGGATGATATGAGCAAGGGATAAACGATGAGAATGATATTATAGAATGAAAGAAACATCTAGGATCCTATAGTATAATAAATAAATAATTGAATAAATAAATGGAGGAGAAGGAATAGTTCTTCCTTACATTAGAAGTTTAATCAATAAATGTACAAAGAATGATGGAAACAGAAAATCACCATTTGGTAAATACTTCAGCAATAATTACTGCAAGCAAGAAGCATCAATGACTGCTAAAAGTAGTGGGTAGAAGTATGATGAGAACCAGGACATTTGTGTAGTCTCCAAGTATCTCTCTATAAGATATTTAATAATTACAAAGGGAAAAATAGTAACTTTAAAGGGAAAAACCTGGCAGACACCACCTTAACCAAGTGGGCAAAGTTTGAATCATCAGTAATAAGACACCAACATCATGTGCTTCCTGGAATGATATGGGGGCACTGAAAGGGGCACAACATCAGTTCTGTAGTATTCTTGACAAAAATGGACAATAAATTTAATCACTCGGAAACAGCGGACTTGCCCAAATTGAGGGACACTCTAGAAAATAACTGACCAGTAATCTTCAGAAGCATCAAGGTCGTGAAAGACAAAGAACGAAGAAGTGTCACAGATTGGAGACTAAGACACATGACAATTAAATGCAATGTGGGATCCTGGGACAGAAAAAGGACATTAGTGGGCCAACTGGTGAAATTTGAGTCAAGTTTATAGTTTTGATAATAACATTTTATCAGCAAATTTCCTGGTTTTGATAATTGTATATGGTTACATAAGATGTTAACATTTGGAGAAGCTGGGCAAAGGGTATATGGGCATTTTTTGTATTATTTTTGAAATGTTTTTGTCAGTCAGTCTGAAATCATTTCAAAAGTAAAATAAAAAATACCTGTGCCCGGGCCCTGCACCTCATGTTAAATCACAGTTGCTCTGAGGTACAGCCCAAACATCAGCAAAGTTTAAAATCTCTCCAGGTGATTTTCATATACAGCCGGGATTGACAGTAGGGCCCTTATTCAATGGTTCTCAAAATGTGGTCCCTGGACTAGTAGCATCAGTATCACCTGGGAACCTGTTAGAAATGAAAATTCCTAGGCATCACTCAAGACCCACTGAGTCAGAAACTCTGATGGTGACCTCTCTGTTTTAATAAGCCTTCCAGGTGACTCAATGAATAGTTTGAAAACCAGTGCTCTAATAGAACTTAGCCCAATGATGTGACACACAACATGAACTATGTGTATTTACAAAGTTATGCAAATCAACTATCACCATAAGAATCAATGGCTAATACAAAAGATGAAAGATTCTTAAACTAGTAATATGTAATCCCAGACAAAATGAAATCTGGTTTAAGTGGTCATTCATTCAACACAAATTTGAGTATCTACTATGTGCTAGGTGCTAGATAGACAATAGCGAATATAAGACACTGTTCTTACCCAAAGGAACTTTAGAAGTTTTAATACAATTCAGTGTAGTAAGTGCAATGACTGAAGTTCTATGGAAGCCAACAGCAGGGCCATCACATCTAGTCAAGAGAGGCTTCTCAAAGAGGTGTCAGTCTTAAAGGAGAAACAGGAGTTATACTGGGCTCCCCTAATTTCTTGGGTAAGGAAGAATGGAAAGAATAGGCAAAGAGAAGATAGTGGCTGAAACTATGACTGTGGAATTAAGGTTGGAAATTAGGGGACAGAGTTGAGAACACAGATGTTTAATCAATAGGAAGGGGAAGTGGGAAGAATTTGGGATATCCTTAGTTTCTGTTTTGGGGCACTTGGGTGAGTATTACTATTATCCAAATTAAGAATACAGGAGGAGGAACATGGATCGCTATTTCATTTGCTTTTCAAATCTCTGCAAAATCTATTGTGCTTACCTCTTCCCCCATCCCACCCCTACCCACAGAAGAACAGAACACAAAAAGAGTAGATTGGAATGTTGTTTTTTAAAAGCCTAGCAATAAATTATCTTGTACACTCTCTTTTATCTTTACTGAATTCTATTACTACACAATTATGAGAGTACAAGATCATCTGGAGCAATCAGACAATGATTCTCTATTATAGGTAGAATAATCCACCCATTATTAAGATACTTATAACTAGTTTATATTCAAGGGAAGATATATACAAGAAATACAAAGTTTGCCTCTGCATGGTTATATTCATTGTGCTATCTTCAGAAGTGGTATCTATGGCACTGATAAGCCTATGAGGACAAAGGTTTATATCATAGGAAGCTGAAAGTTTCATAAGTCATCTTGACAATCAGTTTTTGTTTTACTTTTATGCTAGAATTAAATCATCTCAAAACGAGGATTGTTGAGAGAAGACTTTCAAACCAACAAAAACATGGAAAAGATTGAGGTTAAAGGGAAAATAATTTTTACAGGGGTTTTATCTTTATAGGGAAAAACAGAACTCCCTAAAATTTCTCATTTGGCATAAAATTACTAAGTTGCAATATGAATTCATATGAATTTTGAAAATGATATATTCAATTTTAGTTTCTAACAGTTTGTTCATTTCATGGTAAATAGTCAACAGGTGGCAGCACATACCATTCTTAAACAGTTTCCTATTTGCAAAACATGGTTTCTGGAGAAGCTGGGCATAAATCAAGCTTTTGTAAATTGAATTCTATTTTATCATTTCAGAATTCCTTTATCTTAACTTCTGCTTTATCTGCAATGAACAATGGCTTCTAAAGTTTAAAGTTTCTCCTTACCCTCTGTAAGTAGTTAATAAGCCAAGATTTAAATGCATCAGAGAGAAGCGTTCCAATAAATCTTTCTTCTGTAAATAATCCCCACTCTGATGCATTTCATCTATTTCAAATACATTTGAATATATGAATATTAAGGTAGGGGTGCATCCTTCATGGCATTATTTTAAGCAGAAAAAACTTGGATCATGATAATGGCTGAATAGAACAAACGCTAAAAAGCAAGAGTACTATACGGGCATATGATCCACAATGAATTGTAGTGCACTCATTAACCTTTAGTATGCTTACTTGTTGACTGCACGTGTTCCTCCAGAGGTGGTTCATCTGCTCCCTGTACTGAAGCATATCCAGATGATGCGGTCTCGCTGCGATTATCCTCTTCATGGGAGGAGGCACTATTGGATGTTTCATTGGATACAGGGACTTGTAAGGACACTGATCCATCTTCAACATCCACCTTTAAAGAGCATTTGAAAAAATTAAAAGCCTTTCAGTGTACACGCTTTACCTCGACATATCACTTCAAAGTTTCTTTATAGGTGACTCATTGCAGCAATATTTCTTAACCTTTTAAACCTATGATCCCTTTTGATGGTCACGGGTCTCTTGTTTGCCCCAGTCAAAATAGAGTAACTGGGTCCACCAATGGGGTGAAAGATGCTATAGGCAGAGTGTACTCTCATCTGATATGTTCATTTGAGTGATCCCAGCACTTCATAAAATAATGCTGGGTACAAGTTAGGCCCTAAAAAGTCATGCTGTTCCCTATGGAACTTGAGAATCACTGTCATCTATGTATCGTCCCATGTCAAGATCTGAGCTTGATTTTATGTTGTATCTTGAAAATAGGCCTTTTTTTCATTTACCAAATATAAAATTATAATTTAGTATTTATTATGCTTTCTCAAATTATGTCTGCTTATTTAACTCCAAGTTTGGTCATTATGCAACATTAAAAGATTACAAAAATAGAAAGAGGGATGCCAAGTTGGTGGTTTACATGGTTATCATTTCAAATTCTGACCAAATAATTGAGTGTATTTGGAAAGAGGGAGGAAGAAGGAAAATGGAGATGGCCCAAGATGGCACCTTATTGTCTATATGATATAAATATAGATATATGATATGATATATGATATAAATGGTTTTAGGTATAAACTGTAAGTATGGCATATTACATAGCTAAAAAATAAGGATGTTATTTTGTTGTTTTCCCCAAAGCCCAGGCATATATTCTTCATATAAATAACATATTAATGTTTACCTCAATTCCCAAAGCTTTGAGTATGTCACATTTGCACATGGGGCAAGTCCTGTGTTCTAAGAGCCATGGGTCAACACATGTCTTATGGAAAATATGGCTAATGCAGGAAAAAACATAATTATCAGTTGTGAAGTAGCAACACTTTGCCTAATATACATTAACAGATTACTTAGTGTAATTTTTAGTCTTTGAATGGATGCCTTTTCTTTTAAACACACTATTCATACAATGAAGGAGCCACAGAAACAAAATTTGGAAATTCCATAATACAGTACTTTTAAATGTAAAAGCCTCACTACTCTAGCTCCAAAAAAAATATTTTCAGTACTCATTTGAAAATGGCTAGGATGCTACCTGACCTAAGACTTTGTTCATTATTTCAAATCTTAAACAGTTATAATTCCCTAACTGATAAATGGTACAGTCATTCTCAATAATATAGTCCAATATAGTATTGAGTACAACAACACTGTACTGATGCTTTAGGCAATGTGATATGTTCCAAGAGCATCACTATTGTATTAAATAGCTAAGAGAAGGAGTGTTAAGAACAACCTTCAGGAGAGGGATAATTTATAAAACTAAGGAATGAACACTTCCAAATAGATGCTCATGAGTTGATTTCATTTTATTTTTTTCTCGATGGATTAGAATACATTTAAAAAAAATATATATATATAGTGCTGGCTAGGTTCTCAGTTTTCTATGGAATTAGTTTAGAACAAATTGAACCAGATTACAGTTAGACTTATACCAATTTCAGTAGTATTAATAAATGAATGAACATAAAAATAAACCATTCTATATTTAAATGAAAATAAGTTAAAAATAAACATTTTTAACATTAATGTGGAAATATTCAAAATAGTTTTCTTCCATCACAATCATTTTTGTGAGTCAGCTATTTTTATTGAAGATATAGAAGAAAATCAAACTTACTTGCAGGTTAAGATGCGTACCAAATCATTTGGTTTATACAATTCAATGCACACAGCACAACTGTCTCCATCAGGGCCAATTTCCTACAAGCAAGTAGTTATTGTTACTCTGACAGATAAGAAAAAATATATTAAACTGCAGAAGAAGATCAGAACATATATGTACTTAACCAGCCTAAATTCCTATAAAAGGAGGAGCATTATATCACCGAATGGTTATGTAACTGTAAAGTTCCCAAAGGTGATTTAAAATTATCCAGACTTTAAAAAGGTAAAAGAATAAAGTGAAACAAAAGGGGAAAAGAACCAAGAGAAACATGTAGCACTGATTTAAACTATTTTTCCTGATTTTAGAATTCATAAAATACCATTTGTACAAGTTCTATAACTTTTCTCATTAAAAAAAATTAAGGTATAATTCATATACAGTAAAATTCACCCTTTTAATGTACAGTTCTGCACGTTTTGAAAAATATATAGTCACCTAATCCTTATCACAATCAAGATACAGAATAGTGCTATTATTCCCAACAAACTCCTCCAAACTCTTTGTAGTTATCCTTTCCTCTCATCCCCACCTTCTGGCAACCACTGATCTGTTTTTATAGTTTTGGCTTTCCCAGAATATCATATAAATGGAATCATGCTTTATCTAGCTTTTGAGTTTGGATTTTTTAAACTTAGCATAATGCATTTGAGATTCATCCATAATGCTGTATGTATCAGTGGGGTTCCCATCACACTTTTATTGCTAAATAGTATTCCATGATATGTATGTACCACGGTTTATCCATTCACCAGTTGAGCAACATTTGGCTTTTTTCCAGTATTTGACAATTATGAATAAAGCTGCTATGAACAGTTGTGTTTTTATGTGAACATAGATTTTTTTCTCCCTTTAGAGTAAATATCTAGTAGTGAGATTGCTAGGTGTTATGGTAAGTGTATTTTCAACTTCAGAAGGAACTGCCAAACATTTTCAAATTGGCTATACATTTTGCATTCTTACCAGCAAATGAATGAGAGTACCAGTTGTTCCAAATATTGACCAGCTCTTGGTATTTTCAGTTGTATGTATTTTAGCCATTCTAATGAATGTACAATGGTATTTCATTGTGGCCTTAATTTGTATTTCTTTAAATATTAATGATGTTGAACATCTTTTGTGTGCTTATTTGCCATTCATATTTTTTTGGTGGATTGTCTGTTTTGCTTGCCAGTTTTCTGTTAGGTTGTTTGTATTCTTACTGTTACATTTTGAGAGTTCTTTATATTCTAGGTACTGCTCTTTAACAGACATACGATTTGTAAATACTTTCTCCCAGTCTGTACCTTATCTTTTCCTTCTTCTAACAGTGCCTTTCAAAGAACAGAAATTCATTATTATTATTATTATTATTCTTTAAGTTCTAGGGTACACGTGCATAACGTGCAGGTTTGTTACATATGTATACTTGTGCCATGTTGGTGTGCTGCACCCATCAACTCGTCAGTACGCACAACTCGTCATTTACATCAGGTATAACTCCCAATTTTGACAAGGCCAAATGTACCATTTTTTTTTCTTTTTTGGACTTGTTTTTGGAGTTATATCTAAGAAATATTTGTCACCCAAGTCATGAAAATATTTTTCTTTAAAGTTTTCTTCTAAAAATTTCATAGTTCTAGGTTTTATGTTAAGGTCTATGATCTATTGAAATAATGCTTACATAGGGTATGAAGAATGGATTTAAGTTCTTTTTTGTCTGTTTGCTTGTTTTTTGCTTAAGGATATCCAATCACTGCATATGGATATCGAACAACTGGCTATCCTCCTGAAAAGGCTATCCTTTCTTCATTGAATTGCTTTTGCACTTTTATGGAAAGTCAATCGACCATATATGTGTGGGTTTATTTCTGGACTCTCTCTTCTGTTCCGTTGATCTATAAATCTATCCTTTTTCCAATACAACACTATCTTGACTGCTGTGACTTTAAAATAATTCTGCAAATCAGGTAGTATGAATCATCCAAAGTTGTTCTTTATCAAAATTGTTTTGTTTATTCTAGTTCTTTTGCATTTTCATCTAAGCTTAGAATCAGGCTGTCAATTTCTATCAAAGATTTATACTAGGATTTTTATTGAAACTGCATCAAATCCATAAATCAGTTTGGTGGGGAACCGACATCTTAACAACAGCAAGTCTTCTGACCCATGAACATGGTATATGTTTCCATTTATTTAGATCTTTTTTGATTTCTCTCTTTCATTAGTGTTTTACAGTTTCATGGCTTTGGTAAGATTTAAAATGGTGTATTATTTCCATAAGTTCTATAGCTATTTTTGAAATACATGTTTTACCCATCAATGGTAGTTTTCAACTATCCTAAATCTGAAAATACATATTCAAGCAAAGTTACACTAAAGTATTGTATTAGTTTCCTGTAGTTGCAGTAACAAATTATCATAATTCAGTGGCTTAAAACAACACAAGTTTATTCTCTTACTGTTCTGGAAATCAGAAGTCTATAATCAAGGCATTGGCAATACTGTGCTCTTTCTGGAGTCAGCAGGGGAGAATCCCTCTCCTTACCTTTCCCAGCTTCTAGAGAGTGTCTGCATCCCTTACCACCTAGCCCCTTCCTTGTATCACCCCAACCTTTTGCTTCCACGGTCACATCCCTTACTGTACTGTGGTCAAATCTCCCTCTCTCTCCCTCTTATAAGGACACCACAATTATATTTTGAATCTACCTGGATAATCCAGGATAATCTCCCCATCTCATGACCCTTAACTTAATCATATCTGCAAAGTCCTTTTTGCCATATAAGGTAATATTCACAGGTTCAAGGGAATAGATATCTTAGATATCTTTGGGGGGGGGCATTATTCAGCCTACCTCTAGAATCAAATACATATAAAAAGTCAATAAGGTTCATAAATGACAATAAAAGCATACTTAGGAAGAACATTTAGCCTGAACAATGGCTTGGTAGCACTGCTTTAAAACAAGTAGCATTTAAAAGTCATGAATGTACCTTGTCTCCTTGTTTCAGTGTGCGTAGTTGAAGCCTTCCAATAGCTTTTTTAGCATCTGCCTTTAATTGCCTCTGTAAAAAAAACAGCAGGTATTAGAAAAACTATTTTTTAAAAGAAGTATGATGAAAAAGATAGAGGATCAATAAATATTTATCAGGTAAAAGTCAATATACAAACGAATTTTAAAAGATAAAACTTAATTATCCATAATAAATGTCCCATTTACCTAATATCAGGCAGGATTTTCCAAGTTACTGAGACTTTTCACTTACTATGTTTCCCTACTTTCTTAAACAATACTGTTGGGACCATAATGGTAAAAATACATTTCCCCCACCCCTAATGGATTCAAATGCTATTAATTTTCAAAGCAATCTTCCTATTTGTAAGCTCAGAGGACATTAACATGCATTTTTTCCAATTTCCTTTTTGAATCATGTCTTGTTTGGTGGAAAGTGCATAGGATTTGGATTCAAATGGTTCAAAATCTGACTTTGTCACTTACTCAATGAATAACCCAGCACAAGTCATTTAATTATTTGAGCTTGTTTATTTATCTATAAAATGAGGGTAGTACCAACCTTTACACTGTTTGGTATTAAGAAAAATATTGGTGTTTATAACCACGATTGCTTTGTGAAGAAGATTGATTCTGAGAGTGGTCACCTTTTATTGTTTCACTGAGCATATATCTAGATGTGTCTGGATATGCAAAAGCAAGCCACAGGCTCATTTATGGAATAAAAACTAAAACATTATGCATAATTGAGTCAGAAGTGAAGTTGCGGTGTGGGAAGAATCTCCCAGGTGAGGGAAAGACTATAAAGAGAGTCTATATAGTCCAATAACATTGTCCCTCTAGGTGGGGTGAACCAGCCAGAGGAAAAAATCCCAGGTGATATTTGTTAAGATATTTGGCATCAATTTGAAGTTATTGGTGATGCTGCAAATACTTCATTCCCCTTCACTAAAGTCTACTACATACACAAATGCCTCAAGTGAATATAATACACATATGAATTGAAGTAGAGGCTAAGTATAACACTTGGCAGATGCTGTGTTGATATGGTGAACATTTGTCCCCTCCAAATCTCATTGAAGTGTGACCCCCAATGTTGGAGGTGGGGCATGGTGGGAGGTATTTGGGTCATGGAGGAGGATCCCTCATAAAGGGCTTAATGCCGTCCTTATGGTAATGAGTGAGTTCTCAGTTCACGCTGGTTGTTTAAAAGAACCTGGCATCTGCTCCCTCTCTCTCACCCTGTGACACACGTGCTCCCTCCTTTCCTTTTTTCCATGATAGGTAGCTTCCTGAAGCTTTCATCAGAAGCTGAGGTTGGCACCAAGCTTCTTATATAGCCTGCAGAACCATGAGGCAAATCAACTTCTTTTTTTAAATAAATTACCCAACCTCAGGTATTCCTTTACAGCAACACAAACCTGACTAATACACGTGTGGAATATAACAGTAGCATGTGCAGGATGGCAAGATAAGTGATCTTTCTATTTTGAACTGTAAAATGAACATACTTAGAAATTCAGCAAAAAGTAGGCCCCCAGAACCAGAGATCATTGTAAGAATGTAAGCAGCTTCCTTCCTATATGTACCCCCATCTCCAGCTGACATTTATGTTACATGAAAATTAGAGATAATATAAGTATTTAGTATAATGTCTGGCATATAGCAGACACTCAAGAAAATGTTTATTACATAAAATGTAAACTACCATTCATCAATAAGCATAACAGGTACTTGCCAACATATATTTGCTACAAATGCTACAAATATTTGTAGCTACAAATGCTACAAGTATTTGTAGCAAATATATTTTGGAAGGTAGGAATCCATAAGTATCAGTATGTGAGAAATCTCCTTGATGTTCAAATCTGTCTCCTATGTAAGATATCATTTTGTGAAAGATTTTAACTTAATGCCAAGGAGAATATTAGCCAAAGTATTTCTTTGCTGTCACAGGAAAAGCAGAAACCTCTCAGATTATTACCTGACCAGCAAATAAGCCTATCAGAAACAGTGAATAGGAAGGCCTAGATCCTAAGAAGGAAAAGAGGTGATAATCAAGGTACTTTCACTCCCATTTTGGGACATAATTGTGAACTAAAAAAAATTCTATGATGGGACTTAATTTCAGCACAAATATCTTCCCTTCTATTTTGTTACTTGTAAGATAATAATAGAGTGACAGTGAACAAAGGTACACCTAGGATCTTTAGATTACCGAGCCCAACATCTAATCAGACAGAGAAGAAAACTGATGCTCAAAGAGGAAGAATGTCTTGCTCGAAATATTAGAGCTAGTGTCAGCCCCACTGAAGTGCAGAGTTATATCAAAGTAGCTATTTGTTTTGACTGTAGCATGGAGTAGGAAACTACTCCTACCATTTCCTTACAATATACAGTTGTTATACAGTTTAAAAATTTTTTATATCCATTACCTCATTTAATCCTCACAAAAACCCCCAGAAGAAGGTAATATCCTCATTTTAGAGATGCTCAAGTGGAGGTTGAAAAACTAAAATAACTTATTCAAAAGGGAATGCAGCATCTAAATAATTAAGCTGGTACTGGAACTCTGCTCTTCATATTCCAAAAGTCCATTACAATATAACCATCCATAACTCAGCTGTCTTTTGATATTTTTCTAGCTTCTGGATTCCAGGGTCTGTCAAACTGTGGCAATCCTTCCACCTGTATGCCTACCGGGTCCTGGCCCTGGCCCACACACCTACACTTCACTACTTTCTTTTCACATAGATCATGAGTCAGTTGGACATCGAGAGGAGAAAAATGCAAATGAGAAAAAAAAAAGAGCCAGCAAGAAGAAATGGGAAAAAAATGTAATGTAGTTGATGATGTCTTTCAGAATCATTTTGCTCTTTGTCTTTAAAGCAATTGTAATTTAGGTTTAGGCAACAAGCTGTATAACACAATTTGGGAAAGCTCTCATAAGGAAGTGATACCTCTCTAGGGTATTTACTTGATTCAGTCTATACAGTCTGATTTCTCATTGCAAAATATTCCATTCAATACAATATAAATGTCCGAATATCCAGTGCTAGTGCTTATCAATTTATCAGGCATTAATGCCAAATATATAACTTTCTTAATTATAGCCAAGACTATAATGCAAATTAATTTGAAGTGTAGGATCAAAGGGAAACTTTGTATATAATGTCTGAGTCTATGCCCAGGAGAACAGCAGAACTTGCATTAAGGCCAATGCTAGAAAATGATGGTGGGTGAGAATACAAAAAATAAAAAAATAGGGCCAAATCTAAAAATACCAGAAGACACTAGACAAGAGATTTGATTTTTAAAGGATCTCTAAAAGATTTACAGCATAGCATAAACTAATGTTTAACAAAGCAGCCTTAGAATAAAAATGGGTTTAAAAGAAAATTTGAATATTTTCAACAGCTCTTACTGGGCTTATATAAAGAAAAGTTATTTTCTTTAAATATGGATGCAAGACAAGTGATTTTAGTAAAAAGCACAAACTGTATTTTTAGAGCTTAAAGGAAAGTCACTCACAAAAAAACTGCCTCACGATATTCAAGATAGTACTCAAGATATTTCACTGTGACACTGATAGCAAAAGATCCAAGATGCATGCTTCCCTCTAAAAAAAACCCTGAAATATGGGAACACCATTAGGATCCAGTAGATTATATTCAATACATATGTTTGAACAACATTATGTCAGCTTTTGAGTGCCCAAATATACCTCAACATTTAAAGACAATATGCCCCATGCGAACTGTAATTTGTACCTTACTCCTTAAAAAACAGAATTTCAAGAATGTATCTATATTATTATACAAATTACATGGGATACTTTTCCAATGCCTTGCTACCATATTAGAATTTCCTTAGTCTATAAATTCCAATAACACATCATTTCCACCTCTTATCTTGTTCAGTAATTGTATTATTAATGTGCCTTTCTCTCTTGAGTAGCAGGAGGACTGGGCCTTAGTCACTTAGAAAAAAATTTCCCAGTGGCTAGAGTTTGCTCAAAAACTATTTTCTGAATTTAGAAAATATAAACAGACTTTCTTGATTTTCTCATGCAAGACACTTCTCATTTCAATTATTAAAAGTCTCTACTCCATTAAGTTTGGGGAAAGAAAGGTTTAGACATTAATTGAGCATTTGCCATGTGTCAGGTTGTAAGCTTTTTACATGTGTCATCTTGTTTAATCATTAACAACATTGTGAAATAGCTATTTCAACATCCAAGTTTTACAGACAAGAAAAGTAAGGTTCAGAAGCTTGACTAAAGTCCAGACAGCTGGTTAGTTTCAGAGCTGTGATTCAATTCAAGCCCAGGTTCTATCTGGCTTTAAAGCCCATGATCTCTCCACTATTGTACACTGCCTCCATTGTGTAATGGCAAAGAAGCCTTTCACATTCCTTGTGAAGAAGACAAACGAAGGAAATTTTAAAAACCCCTTCAAAGCCAGCAATTATCCAATCTTAAAATTCTTCACAAACTAGCTATTTACTGTGATTTGGGGAATTTTAAAAAGCAAGTACATTATGTCAAACGCCTTTTGCCTTTCCCCTCCTCCTCTCTAATCCTAAGAGATACCTGGTCTAAGAATATTTGGCAGTAGAACTGAAGACTGATTCAAAGAAGCTGGTTGTTGGCCAATTTTCTTAACAGAAGCTTAATGTGACTATTCTGACTAATCAAAAGCTGAATTCGCTCTAGTTAGTGAAGAATCTCGACTATATGGTTTTTTTTTTTTTTTTTTTTTTTTTTGGTTCTGAATGGGAATGTATTGGGGTTGAAGATAAAATGTCAAACTAATGATCATTCTTTATCACAATGTTCAATTTTGAAATTATGGTGAATGCAAAGATATTCTACCTAGTTCATTGGTGTACTTATATCCAATTAGGTAAAATATATGTTTCAGTCTAGTGATTTGTCAGCCTGATTTTTGGTCCCAGGGCATTCAGCTTTTAACTTAACTGAAACCCACATGAATAGTATTAAGTATGTAGTCAAACCTAATTACTTGATGGAGGACAGGGTGTGCAAAAAGC